CCCTACGAGGAGAGACTAGAGAACCTGGACCTTTTCAGCCTCCGCAAGAGAAGGTTGAGAGGCAACCTTGTGGCTGCCTATAAGTTCATCATGGGGGCACAGAAGGGAATTGGTGAGGTTTTATTCACCAAGGCTCCCCTGGGGTTAACAAGAAATAATGGCCACAAGCTTGTAGAGAGTAGATTTAGACTGGACATTAGGAAGAACTTCTTCACAGTTTGAGTGGCCAAGGTCTGGAATGGGCTCCCAGGGGAGGTGGTGCTCTCCCCTACCCTGGGGGTCTTCAAGAGGAGGTTAGATAGGCATCTAGCTGGGGTCATCTAAGCCCAGCCCTCTTTCCTGCCTATGCAGGGGGTCGGACTTGATGCTATATTGAGGTCCCTTCCGACCCTAACATCTATGAATCTATGAAAGAGAATATTGTGTGTTTGCGTGTGTGTGTGTCTATATATACCTTTAGTCCCTTAACTTCTTTTGATTTAAAATCAAAATATGGAGCACACATCTCATGCTATTGGCATCTTTGATATAATTAGAAGCATGATGACATAAAATACCAACCCTACAGCTTTCCCACATCATGAAGCACAAGAAATATGCCCCAAGATACTCATAGTCAAATGTTATCACAACTCGTACACAAGCAAGTCTTTATCATGTTTCTCATTTAATAGAGTTATAGATGTTACGGTTGGAAGGGACTTCAGTAGGTCATCGAGTCCGACCCCCTGCCCTTGGCAGAAAATAGCGCTGGGGTCAGACAACCCCAGCTAAGTGCTTGTCCAGTCTCCTTGAAGACCCCCAGGGTAGGAGAGAGCACCACCTCCCTTGGAAGCCCATTCCACATTCTGGCAACCCTTACTGTGAAGAAGTTATTTCTAATGTCCAACCTAAATCTGCTCCCTGTCAATTTGTGGCCATTGTTCCTAGTTACTCCAGGGAGTGCCCTAGTAAATAGAGCATCTCCTATTCCATGCTGCCCTCCCCTGATGAATTTATAGGCAGCCACAGGATCACCTCTCAGCCTTCTCTTGCGAAGGCTGAAGAGATCCAGGTCCCTCAGTCTCTCCTCATAGGGCCTTGCCTGAAAGCCTCTGACCATACAAGTGTCCCTCCTCTGAACTCTCTCAAGATTCTCCGCATCCCTCTTGAAGTGCAGTGCCTAAAACTGGACTTAGTACTCCAACTGCGGCCTGACCAGTGCTGCATACAAGGGAAGCATCACTTCCCTGGACCTGTTCAGCATGCATCTGCTCGTGCTCGATAACGTGCGGTTAGCCTTTTCAGCCAAGAGGGCTTCTTGGCCTCTTTGCCCCCTTTTATGTGCAATAAGATTGTCTCCTGCGCCCATAGGATTGCTCCCCTGAGGAATGACTACACTTCTTGGACCCCCATTTCACCAATGCTTGTGAGCTTTAATGCCTCACTAACTAATCTCCAGAGCACGCTATAGTTACCTTTTCTGAAGTCTAACACTTCAGCCCTGCTGGTTAGTTTACCCACCTTTCACCAGATACTGAATTCAATCAATTGATGGTCACTATCCCCTAGGTTACCTTGCACTTGCAGATTCCCCACCAGGTCATCCCCTGTAGCTAACACCAAGTCCAGCAAGGCATTTTCCCTAGTGGGATCATATACCTTCTGCATTAGGTGGAGGTCCTGTATGCAGGTTAAGAACCTACATGAGCAGTTAGATTTGGCTGACTGCTCCTCCCAGCAGATGTCAGGGTAGTTTAGATCACCCATGAGAACCGTATCTCTTGACTGTGTATGGCCTCTGAGAGCTGTCTGGAAAATTCCAGGTCTAGCTCATCCTCTTGGTGTGGCGGTCTATAGTAGACCCCCACTACCAAGTCCTTTAGATCAAAGTTGATGCTTGCAAGGAGGAGTGCAAGTTCCTCCTGCTTGTTCTCCATGCTTCTAGCATTAGTGTAGAGACATTTAAGCCCCCACCACCACCGATGGGTGCCCTTCGTACCCCACTGTCCTGATCTCTGTCGGGCCCCTTAGTGCTTACCTGGGCAGATCTAGTGCATTGCTCGTGGCTCACTGATTCCTAGATTCTCCTTATGCTCTGCTTCCCCATCCCCCAACGAACCTAATTTAAAGCCCTTTGGAGGAGATCAGCCAATGTTTAAGAGAACAGACTCTTACCTTTAGAAGAGAGATGAAGAACATTTCATCCCAAGATGCCTCTCTCATGGAAGTGCAGATCGTGTTTGTAGAAGCCAAAACCCACATGATGGCACAAGCTCCGGAGCTGCAGGTTGACTTCCTTGATCCAAGCGTCCTGATGCT